ATATTTATGTTTGTGGTTGTAATGTGACAAAATATGGAAAAGTTCAAGGGGTATGAATACTTTTGCAAACCACTGTATAATGAAAATGTAGGGGAAAAAAGAGATTGTACACAGTTATTTATTTATCCTATCAGCCCTGTGCAAATGCTGGGTGGACTTGGACACAGATTCTTTCTTTCTATGAAAAGAAAGGTTTAAAAAAGGAAGCTGCAATGTAAACATGGTTTTCTAACCTCAAATAAACATAAGCTGTGTCATCTCCCTCCACTGGATTTACTGCTTATTTTGATTAAACCAGGGTCTGCAAATTAGCCGTTAGCTAGGAGGCCTTTTATGTAACAGTTACTTTAACGTGTAGCCTTGTTGTATGAAATAAGGATATTAGTTCTGTCTTACTTCCAGCTTTAAAACCCCACCAACAGCCACCCAAGAGTTATTTACACATCTTCAAATACAGTGGGGTGTGAAAGTTTGGGCACCCTTGTTAATTTTCCTGATTTTCCTTTATAAATCATTGATTGTTTGGATTAAAAATATCAGCTAAATATATCGTATAGGGGACAAACAGTGATATTTGAGAAGTGAAATAAAATTGATACGATTTACAGAAAGTGTGCAATAATTGGTTAAATTAAGCAGGTGCATAAATTTGGGCACCATAAAAAAACAACTCAATATTTAGTAGATCCTCCTTTAACAGAAATAACAGCCTCTAAACACTTCCTACAGCTTCTAATGAGAGTCTGTGGTCCTCCATTTTCTCACAATGTTTCTCACAGTGGAGACTGAAAGCTGAAATCTCTGAGATAGCTTTCTGTATCCTTCCCCTAAATCATGACGGTGAACAATCTTTGTTTTCAGCTCATTTGAAAGTTGTTTTGAGACTCCACTGCTGCGATTCTTCAGAGAAGATGCAAAGAGGAGAAAAACTTACAATTGCCCCCCTTAAATACACTTTCTCATAATTGGAGTCACCTGTGTATGGAGGTCAAGAGTCACTAAACTTACCAAACCAAATTTAAGTTCCAGTAATTAGTTCCAAAGGTTTTGAAATCAATAAAATGACAACAGTGCCCAAATTTATGCACCTGCCTAATTTTGTTTAACCAATTATTGCACACTTTATGTAAATCATATAAACTTCATTTCACTTCTCAAATATCACTGTGTTTGTCCCCAATATGATATATTTAATTGATATTTTTAATCCAAACAATCAATGATTTATAAAGGTAAATCAGGAAAATTAACAAGGCTGCCCAAACTTTCGCACCCCACTGTACATGTTCCCTGTGAACGCAGAAGTTTTGACCACCTTTTGAGTAACCCTAGCATTTCATGAAGTGCACATGCCACACTTTGTATTTCTCGTGCTAAAACACACACACCAAAGATGAACTAATGTGCAGTTTAATGTTTCCTAACCATTGGCTGGATCGGCCTGTTCGGATGAAAGACTTTGTCTAAAAAAGATCCTCTTTTTTGATTAATTTGATTTTATTCCTGCATTGGAAGTCCTGTACTTGTGCAGGGTGTGTTCAGAGTGAAGAGTCACTCCCGACCATCACAAAGAATTTAGAAAACTGACCTGATGATGGTTGGTTGGTTAGAGTTCTTTAGTATTAATTTGAAGTTGTGGATACTTGTTAGCATACAGGGGCTGCGTCATCCGAAGGCTAAATTTGTTGGCTACTATGTCACTTTGAGACATTCAAACTTAAAGACTCCTCCGATGCGACCAGGGGCGGGATAGGGGTGGGGCCACAGGGGCATTGCATCTCATATGCTGTGTGTTTGAGAGCATTTTATCTATGTACAGTAAAAATAGATGTAAAATTGCTAAGGAGAATTAACTGCTCAAGCTTTTTTAAATTACATTACAAGTGTTTGAACATATGACTGGTAAAATGTATACACCTTACCAAAACCAGGGATTTAAATGCAAGGATGCTGAATAAATACTTGGTCCCTCTATGAATATTGAGGCCTCTTGATGGCCCCTTACTCAGAAAAATCTTGGTTGCACCACTGGATGTGGCCCATAAATGAGTCATTTTCCCCCAATTTGAGGGACAGATCCAGTGGGTCCTTCTCAGCACACCCTATCCCATGATGCATTACAGGCTGACGAGATTTATTTATTTATTTTTTGCTCGTAATGACGGACAAAGCGAAAGAAGGGAGTATAGTTTTAATACAAATCTGGCAGTATAAAAATTGAAAGTTTAAAGCAGTTGTGTTAATGTTTTTTGTCATTTGCATGGACATGTTTTTTAAATATTATTCTTGTCAGAACATGATAAACAAGCTGGTATAGCAAGGACCTGGCCCACCTAGACCGGGAAAGCCGGGTTCTTCAAAGGACCCAGCCCCTGAATTTGGACGCAGTCTATATGTCCTTTATTGTGGATATTTTTGTGTCTCCTGCAGCATCCTGTAACCTGGCAGCCATCCAAGGAGGGAGACCATCTGATTGGGCGTATTACCCTCAGTAAGAGGAGTGCCACCATGCCCAAAGAGGCCGGAGCTCTGCTAGGTTTGAAGGTCCGAGGTCAAACTCAACGTGTGAAAGGTCATCAGTGTGTGACGTTTTGTCTTTACGTGTCCATCTGTGTGTGTGTGATTGTCCTCAGGTGGTGGGAGGAAGAATAACAGAGTCAGGCAGATTAGGTGCCTTCATCACCAAAGTCAAGAAAGGAAGTTTGGCCGATGTGGTGGGACACCTCAGAGCAGGTAGTTTGTTTGTTTCATTTTATAGGTTTTGTCATTTTTAGGCCTTATTTTTTCACATGCACATTTTGGTAAACAATCTCCATCTGGGTGTTGAAACTCTTTCCTCAGTGACTGAAGGTGCTACCTTTTGAGATCACTTTTCTAGTTTCACTTGAATTAAAACCACCAGCAACAAAAAGCAGCAATAATTCCTTCTGGACTCGTGTCGTGTCCTGTGAGGTGAATACAGAAGGAGGTTGTGTCAGAGCTGTGTGTGTCCTGAACCTTTACTTTCAGGGGACGAGGTTTTGCAGTGGAATGGGAAGTTGTTACCAGGAGCGACGATGAAGGAAGTTTATAACATCATCCTGGAGTCTCAGTCCGAGCCTCAGGTGGAGCTGGTGGTGTCCAGGCCTATTGGGTGAGTCAGGAGGGAAACACAGCTGCTACACTGTCAGGATACTGGTCTAACCACATAATTAGTTTTTAATCTTTAAAAAAGATAAGAAACATGCATACATATCTGAACTCTGAGCACTAAAACATCCTACCTCAACATGCTGCCAAAACAATTGTTCCATTTATAATAAACATTACTAGTATTTTTATTAGTAAATAAAGGTCTCAATTAAATTAATGTCCTCTAAAACATTAATTACAAACACATTTGAGACTATTATTCATGGTATAAGGTTTAAGGATTGCTGATTCTCAGTATTGGAAAATATATTTAAATTTCTTTAAAAAATGAGTGAATCCTTATAATTATTGCTTCTTGGACACAAGTTTGAAAAGTATTACACTTTTTACACTTCACGTTACAAAAATAATTTGGTTTGCCTTGTTTTTGGTTAAATTGCAGACAAATTAAAAAAAAGTGTCAATTGAGTATTAAGTGTACCAGTGAGGTTTTAGGCTTTTATAATGCAAAATTCATCACATTGTCTGCTTGATGAACTCAAAAACTGCCTTAAAATTCAGTCAAAATGTAATAAATTGATAATTATATATACACAGTATACAGACACACACACACAAACACACACACACATTTACATTCACAAATATTGAGGTTTTTGTCCCTGTGTGCATTGGTAAAACATAATTATATATACACAGTATACACACACACACACACACACACACACACATATAT